TTCTCACACAACCATTCTCTGCCATCGAACACAACCTACTTTTACCCACAGTTCTTACCATACAGTCACATACTGAGTTTTGTCCCTGGCCGCCCAATGGAATGCCCGCCGCCTTACTGGATCCAGCTTCCCTTTACATTCAGAGCGTCCTCTGCAATGGCCTTCTTCCCTTCTCAGCAGAAAAGTGCTAATATATCATCACTCTGCACACTGTAGTGCGCAGAAATGATTATCAACGGTGGACTCGAACCACCGTTCCCTGTGATGGACCGGAACCAAAGAACCACCATTCTCTGTGATGGACTGCAAACAAACACAGGCGTGGGGGCTCGAACCCCTGGATTTTCCCTCCAGAGACTCAAACTTCGGAGTTGGCAGGCACTCCACTGCTCGGTCAGAAAAAAACACCTCCATGACAATATTCAACTTAGCTACAGCTCACCCATCTGCAAGAGTCCCCTCAAAGTCGATGGTCTCGGTTGTGGCTAAAACACATGGCTCCGTCCACGGAATCGTTGTTCATTGACCACACAGACCATTCTGTTCGTTACGCCATATTTTGTGGAAGTTTTCATTTAATAAAGCCTGCAGACAAATGGTGAGCGGTGGCTAACATCCTTTAATCAATAAAGCACAGAAACCCAAGCTTGGTGAGGGAATGTCATCGCTGCGGCAGACGATCGGCAGAGTCTCTAACTGCGCCCAGCATGGTCCTGGTATAAATACCTCCTACGGGAAAAAAAAGGCAGTACACAGCTGTTTCACACTGTCAGGTTTATATTGTGGATTGTCATTTATGCTTAGAATTATATAACCATATATATTTTTAGAGGTGTATAATCGATTGCATAATGATAGGATGTGTGATCCTTAGCAGGCTACAAAGACTCTATGCCTCCCAGAGCACTCTGGCATACACACACATCTTAAGGTCATTAGAGAGGTCGTACCTTCTCTTGCTGATTTATGGTATAGGAGGACACCTACTCTGTATCTGGTTAAGTATTAGAGCCCTTTGTTTAGGTGGACCGCTGCGCTCCTAGCACCAGCTTTGGGGAGTCCACACAGGGTCACATTTAGAGTTGTTGAAGAGGCAAAAGACTCTTCCTGTGGAGTTTTCTGCATTCCCCAATTTCCTTACCAGACGCCCACCATCTGTCTAACTGCATGAGTGTGAGAGACATTGAGACATGCTAAAATCCAGTGGCACCAAGGCATTACAGAATAAAATAACGTGAATAATACATAAATAAAAGAAATTCTTCTACATGCGGAAACCCCTGGCTGAGGCAAGATAGGGCCAGCAGGTGAGGAAACCCCAAGCTGAGGTGGGGTGAGGCAGAGCTCACAGCCGGCTCTGAATGCTGTGGCTGCAGGTCATGTAACAGAGCTAGAGAATGAACTGGTGACTGAACTGGTGACCAAGATAATGACTGGACGGGTGGTTGATCTAACGACTGGATGGGTGCCTGAACTAATGGCTGAATGGGTGGCAGAGCTGGCAATGGTGACATTGCTGCTGCCTGTGCTAATAGAGCTGAAGCCTGAGCTGGGAATAAACCCGCTAAGCTAACTAGGGATTGAGCTAGGGCCTGGAAAGCTGGATGAGGATGAAGTGATGGATGAGCAGGTTGCTGGGCCAGCTCTTCCGAGCCTCCAGAACATGAGAGTAATGGCTGGATGAGCTCACCTGAGCCTTCAGCGAGGTTAGATTGGGTCCTGGCCACCCTCACTCTGGGCGCTGGGACAAACAGGGGAGCTAGTTGGACACCAGCCACCCCCACTTGAGGAACAAGAACGGGTGCTGGAGTAGTAGTCCTTCCCTTGGCTATGACAGCAGGAACGCCGGGCGACGGAGCCTCCACCGAGCTAAAACGGAGGGCGGAGCCGCTGCACCCCGGTGAGGTGGAAGCGCTGGTAAGTGAAGCGGCCGGTGGGCGAGCGAGGAGCGGTGCGGTGAGAGAGTGAGCGGCAGAGGCTCGGCAAGTGGCACCCACTCTCCACGGCGAATGCTCTTGTGCAGATGAGGCAGCAGGTGGAAGACCGCGGTGTCTCAGAGGCCCTCCCAGACGAGTCCCTTCGAAGACGTGCTCCCTCTCTGAGAAGAGCTGCTGTTTCCACCTGAGCTCCTCCACCCAAGAGAAAAGCACTGCTCTCTGCCGCTAGAAAAAAACACAGTCTGCTGGGTCCTTAGCGTATCTTCATGGCACGAATAGAGCAGATAGAGCAGTCCCTCATTAAGATCCTTCCGGTGAAAGGTGCTCACTGGTGTGGTTCCAACAGCAATCATGCAGTTGCCTTCAGAGACTAGCAGAACTCGATAAGCCAGGGGTTGCTGACGCAGGTAGCGTTCAGGGTCTTCTGAAATCTACATGACAAAGAAGAAAGAAGGGGATTCGAACAAGACCTTAAGAAAGACTATTTTTGAGTCACATTAGAGTTTAAAATAGATCCAATTTTATTTTAGATTTTTTGTAGGTTTTATTAACATCAACATGTTATGGGGATCTGAACTGTAAGAATATTTAGACCGACTGCACTTAGTAAAATATATAAAATATAAGCATGAGTAACTGCAAAATACAACAATATATACACATACAATATTGCAGCCTTACCTTTAGGACATGGAAAAAAGCCTCACTACAGATGCCCAGCTTCTTAGGTGGTACTGTGCTGGAAGGGAAAGGCACTGGAAGGGCTGTGAACACAGCTGCTGCATATTCCGCTGGTTTGAAAAAAGGAAAATAAGACAGGGCAACACCATTAAGCTTTGCAAATAATGTAATCTGCAAAGCATAAACGTAGACAAATCAAGATACTGTAGCATTGCCTCCATCCAAAGTATTCAGCGGCCTCATAACTTTCTTCATGACACCATAGAACCGCACCTTTGAGTAGAAACTTTCCCATCTATCCTTCATCTCAGAAATGTATCATGAGCTTGATGGTTGAATAATCCTCCGCTGCTCATCGAGGACCTGAAAAATACAGGCAGAAACCCAACTAAGACAGATCTGTCTGGCTTTATATCTGGTCTTGACAATAAATGATAACCATTTAAACATGAGAGTTGGCATTTAAAAAATTGAAAATCATATCAAAATGTCTCCAAAGCAATAACAGGAAGGCAAAAAAATAAGTGCTGCTTACATGATCCACTTCTCTGAAACAAGGGTATGCCTCTAGAGTGTTCACTGCTCTGCCTTGCTCATTTATAGCATCAGAGTTAATGAATTGTCTTCTAGACTCAAACTCCAGGTTCAGCAGTTGCGTTACAACAGTTTTTTGGTCTTGTATATTTCTTGGAGAGTCTTGTAGCATCTTGCCTGAGTTTTTTGGCTGTCAAAGAAGTCAGCTGAACCAGCTAAAAACACAAAGCAGAGCTTTATAAATCATTTATTGCCACAGTAAGGCTTTATATATCTATTATTGTGCAAAACAATAAAACAAAAATACCAAAATGTAAATCAGACCAACAAATTAACTAACCACCCATACTCAAATTGTTCATTGATCCTGCCAAGTCGTCACTATTAAATGGATTGCAAAGATTGCATGACAAACAGTGAAGTGATTGGGTTCCATTGTTAGCAGAATTTTTAAGAAAACAAAAAAAGCCACAGATGTACTCAGAGTACATCTGGGGCGAGGGTGCATAATATCAGCGGCCCCCACATGTGTGGAAACATGTTTCTTTAAGCATTGGGTAGTAGTCCATAAATCGCTTTGCCATGGCATCAACCTTATGTTTGCTGGGGTATCTGGAGTCCTCAGCTGCTCTTGCTATTAAAATCATGTTCGTTATGAGTCAACAACTTTTTTGGTTGTAACAAAAATTACAACCAAAGTTTTTATCTGATGTAAAATGTATAGAAATCATACATATACCAACCATACAGTGTACATCACTGTCACAACAGCGTTTCAAAGGCTTTATGGCTTTTCCTATAATACCTGGTGGGCCGGTCTCTAGTCAAAATACCCCGGCCGATTTTTTGTCCCAGTCCAGCCTTGCTGAAGAGGCCTGTTCACTTTTTCTGAGGGCCTGTGATGATTGCAGTTATAGCCACACTTTTTTGGGGACTTTAACCTGTGCCTGAGTTTCCTTTATTGCCAATTTACTGTGGCAAAAATATATCTATTAGACAGATAGCAAAAACTTTAGGAGTGGCAGATAAACACTTTGGTACATTCCTGAAACAAAGTAATGAACTGGCCAGAACTTTTGACTTTAATTCAGTTCAATTAAGCAACAGTTTAGGAGCCACTACAGATCTGAACTGCCCAGAAAAAGCTGACAAATGACAAAGAAGATTTCTTTTAAAAATCATATTTTAATCATTCATTTGAAGATGTAGTAAAAGGACAAGAGAGAAAAGTGTAAATATTACAGATAACAGCCACTCAGGAAGACATTGATATATCATTACAATTACTAAAAATAGTAGTAGTAGTAGAATAAACAGCTACAAAATAGCTGCTGGCAGTTTCTTCCTATTAGAAAACAGGTGGGGTCACCAAGTGCTTGCTCATAGGGGGCTGTCCGATTATTCTTCATTTTTTTCTCCGATTGTGTGGTCTGAAGCCTACAATATAAAGTTTTTTGAGTTAACAGTTGTTGTGAATTGCTGCTATATAAATATAACTGAAATGTAATTTCTTGCACTTTTGCACAATTGCAATTATGATTGCAACTACTAAAGTAAACAATCTAAAAGAAATTTGTAAAAAACATTATAAAGTAATAAACAACTTTAAATGCATCAATTTCTCATGTAATCCTTTTTTCTGAGGACCATAGACGACTGCACATCTATATGATATTTGCTCGACTCTTAGATGTGGTGAACTGAAAGCACGTGTTTTTTTTTACCTGCAGAGAGGAAATAACCAACCAGTGAACATGATGCAAATTAGTCACATGAGGGAGGGGTGAGGAGTTTAGATTCCAACATAAACGTTATCAGGCTTGACTCATGTGACAGAGCGAGTGAACAATGGCAGGTAAGCATTGTTGTATTCTTTAATAAGACTCTTTCATTAGATTTTATATTTGTATTTATATTTGTATTTGCATACTTTGACTACTGCAGCATGTCATGTCTTCATCTTTCTTTGGCACTTAAAAGAGCAAAGTGAGAATTATATGTCTCATCATGTCTCTTTTATTCTTCCTACAGAGAAGGAGCTTGACAGGTTGCGGAAAGAGTTTGTGTCGAGGGTGTCACAAGAAAATCTTAAAGAGCTCCTTGAAGCCTTTGTTACTGATGGCATCTTGAATGATTTAGAGAAAGAATCCATACTAGAAGAGAATCAATCCAGAGCAGATAGGGTACGCTGCTTCATTGACACAGTAAAGAAAAAAGGAGACAAAGCCTGCAGGATAATGTTTACACATCTTCAGAAAATAGATTCCACACTTTACTCTTCGCTGCATGTGTCCACTTTTCCATCTGCACAGAAAGGTGAAAATTTGGTTTTCTTGAGCTGTTATTGTAATGCTTATTTTATAGATGTACCACAGAGAAATGTATACTACTGAAAAGTCATCTGATGGCAGTAATGGTGCTTTTTAATTCTATCTGTATTGTTGTATTGTCCCAAAAAGAGCAGGAATGGTCATCTAGCACACAGCATTACAGCACAGATGACTGGAGAGAGGGTAAAAATGTATGTGTTTTTGCAGTTTACAATCTTTTCAAAGACTGGCCTGGGTAAACAGCATTATACTGTATTTTTAAGCATTTAATCTCTAATACAAATTAAAATTATTTATTTTTTTACAAAGTAAATTTAGAATTTTGGGATGAACTGTGCTGAATGAAAATGTGTTAAAAAACCTAATTGATTCTTGTAAATATCTTTGCCTTTTAGAATTATCCTGTGACTGAAGAGTCCATTTCAAAGCGTGTAGCCCTACTGATTACAAACAAAACTTTCAACCGGTATTCAACCAGACACGGAGCTGAGAAAGATGACTATAAAATGCACTGCATGCTTGCGGAGCTGGGATACGATGTGGTGAAATATAAGAACTTGACTGCAAAGGTAGTTTTAAAGGCTAAAAACAATTCACTTCTACTTTGACATTTCTCAAACTGATAAAACGATACAGTGATTGAAACCAACTTTTTGATTTTACAGAAGATTGAAGAAGCTCTACAAAAGTTCTCAAAACACCCACAGCTTGTCCACACAGATAGTGTGTTTGTAGTTATCATGTCTCATGGAAGTCTGGGAGCTGTCTGTGGCACTGACTGTAAACCTTTCAAAACTGAAAATATTTACAAGTTATTAAACACAGAGAATTGTCCTGCACTGCATAACAAGCCCAAGGTCATCATCATCCAGGCTTGTAGAGGAGGTGATTTCCATTCATTCATCCCAGAAATGTTAAGATGCATTTACATTTACACTTTCATATACAATTAACGTGAGCTTAAATTTCTCATAACCAACAGCTGTTTTTCATGGATGCATTTTCTCCAAATAGACCCAATGTTCACACTTTACGTGATATACTTTTTTTGGTGTTTACACTCTAAAGATGGCCTGTTTTTTTCTTAATTATTTCAATCAGATTTCATTATTCTGAGTAAGCCTGCATGTTTATTTCAGATGAGGCGGGTTTGGTGGTTTTACCTGATGAAGATTTAGCCAAAGCTAATATCACACAACAAAACTCATCATTGTTTGCTAGTGGAAGAAATATAGAGACAGATGCTGTGGTACACAAAGAAAAGGACTTCATCTCTCTTCTGTCCTGCACCCCTAGTGAGTGTTCCAGTAACAAGTAACACCAGCTTTTAGTAGCTAATCATTGATACTGACCAAATACCAGCAACACAAACTGTCTGTTTCTGTTGGCTTGCAGATACGGTTTCATACAGAGATCCGTCATATGGCTCCTTTTTTATCCAATATATTGTTGAAGTGTTCAATGAGTTCGCTCATGAGGATCACATTGATGAACTGTTCAGAAAAGTGAGCTAAGCAAATTAATTATTTTGTTTCTTCATCAAATCGTCATATATAGGATAGACAACACCCTGTGATGAAGCTGCCTTTTTTTCAATCCTAAAGGTCATGCAGCGCTTCGAAGAATCTGATTTTGGTGGAATTCAGATGCCAAGCAAAGACAGATGTACTCTGACAAAGAACTTCTACCTGCTTGACTACTAAGAGAAGACCTGTCTTGGTGATGGTAAAAGATGATTCCACATATAATTCCTCTTCTGCTTTAGGGTTTGTATTTCTATTGTCTGTCTTTGGCTTGGTATGTAAATGGGCTGTTTTTGTACTGTGCGTATAACAGAGCAGGTTCAGTGGTGAATGACAAATGCATAACCAAGATAATGAGTAGTGTGTATAATTAAAATATTCAGAATATATAAACCAATTCTAAGAGAAAATTATCTTTTGCTCTGTATCTCTTTAAAAAACTTTTTTTTTTGGCGAGTGGGCAGAGGGGGTTTAAGACTCCTGGTGTTTTTTTTTTTTCATTCTTGCACAGATAAAACTGGTTTAAGTACAGTCTTATCATGTTTGCAGGGTTCTATTGTGTATTCATGTATAATTATGTTATTTGCAAGTTGAGCATTTTAGCATCTCCTAGTGGATAACTTTTAGAGTGTGGTCCAATGAATTTGCTGTAGCTTGAGTTGCTTTCCTTCCTATTGGATGTATAGGGTCACATGAGTAAAGTGTACCAGAAGTCTCTCTGTTTAATCTTACAGTATCTGCCTGGGTTATTGCCATGGTGAAGCTTTGTTTGTAACTCTGTATTGTGTTTCATCCTTATGGATAGTAAATGATGCATATTTTATTAATTTGACTCATACTTGGAGAGATTTAAATATAAATGCATAAATAAATCTGTTTGCCATATGTAGCGAACATGTAATTCTTTATTTGAATTAAGAATATTTCTTCTTTGTATTTATTTATAGTTCTAGAAAAGCACAGTACGAATGTACATTGATGATGACAAACAAGTAAACAGCCCTTCACTTTTAATTTGAGCCATCATTCTATGCTTTCAGTTCCTACAGCATATACCCTAAAAAATGCTGGGTTAAAAATAATCCAATTTCTAACCCAGTGCTGGGTCAAATATGGACCGAGCCAACGATGGGTTGTTTCAACTTAACAGGGTTGGGCTATTGGTTTGACCCAGCACACTGGGCTAGGATTACCAAAAATTGTGTTAAACTGACCAATGTTTAAAGCTGAGGTTAATAAAAATTGGGTCGAAAGTCAGAACCCATCACAAGGGTTATATTACCATTAACATCTGGGTTAAGATTTCTACTTACTATAAAATTCAGCATATAAAACTGCATTCAAAACAGATTTTCTCAAAAATACTTTTATTGCTTTTTATTGATACATAGAAGATAGACAACAAAATTCATACAAAATATATCAATGAAAGTATAATGCAAGTTTAAATGTTAAACAAATTTCTTCCAGTCAGTGAATGTTGCATATAATAAAATTTTTGCTTGATGCATAAAGTTAAAAAATTAAAGCTAATAAAACAAGTTTAAAAAGAGACTTTTCCATTTGATTAATTTTGTATGATGGATTATGTAGAAAAAGTAGAATTGGGCTGAAAGATCTATTGCTTTATTACCTATTCAGTTTGTAAATCATGTTTTTAAAAAGTAACTAAGTAATTAATTACTTTTGAAATTAAGTAATCAGTAAAGTAACGGGATTACTTTTTTGGGGAAGTAATCAGTAATTAGTTACTGATTACTTTTTTCAAGTAACTTGACCAACACTGCGTAACCCTCTGGGGTCGCCGGTGCGTCCGGTGACCCCAAACAAATATGTTAATTTGGGGTCGCCGTATTATATTAAACATAACATAACAAACATATTTTAAAGGTGAAATATAGAGGTAAAATCAAAAGTAGTCAATTACAGCCAATTATACCCTGGACCCCAGAGGGTTAAGAAGACTGAACTAATACACAAAGAATGGTTGTTTTGATTTCACAACTTCAGAAGCTAGGTCCCCTAACTTACAGTAGCTGTTGAAAGGATAAAGTTGTGCTATATCAGTGGTTAGAAATACCATTATTACTTTAGGATTAGTTTAACACAAAGTCAGGGCTGACCGGGACCATTGCTGTGAGTCACAGTGCGCAGCATAAAAGTCCTTTCACATCGGACGCAGCATGTGCTGCTAATGCTAACTGCTAACTAAAAGCCAAGAATCCAGAATTTGTTGCGCTGGCTGCTGGGCTCTGTGGGGTTTTGCAGCAGCTCTACCTGTACTAGATGCACCTTCTCCTTGCCATTTCTATCTCTGACTTTATGTCCTCTACAAGAGTTTCTTTTTTTTTTGCTGGTTCTTCAAATGTTCAATAAAAACCTGTATCGCTAATTCATAACGAAGAAAGCTTTGTAACTATCCCCACTACTGAAGACTGTGTCATTTCCACAACACTGCCCCCCCTCGAGGTCCACAGCGCTGTTGAAAAGGCTCTGGAGGTCCCTGTATTAAGCACATAAACCTGTGACACAAAAATCACCAAACTTGGACCACCAAAGACTGTTTTCCTTCGTGGTGATGAAGGAAAACGCTGGGCTAGCATGTAAAAGGGCATTTATTCCCTTCAAGGACTTG